CTCCTGGAGCAGGGAATTTGAAATGGGGGAAGAGTTTTTTCCTCTCTACGATTATATGTTTTTAATTTAAAAAGATACAACAAATGTACTTAGTGTGATTGGTTATGATCTTTGATTTTCTTTAAAATGGTCATGGTTCGAATCCTAGTAAGTGTCTTTTTAATGAATAAAAAAAAAGTAATTGTGAAGACCAAAATATCCTTCCTACTTTCACTCTGGATGCAGGAAATTCGAAATGGGGCTTCAAGTTTTCTCATTTGGCTTTTATTTATTGTGTAGATATGAAGCCAAAACAAGTGTTTAGTTTGCAGGGATTCAAATTTCCAGCCCGCAGAGGGTTTGTCGGAAGGGCACTTTAGGCAATTCACATTTAAATAAAACTGTGCGTTTCACCTCCAACACATTCTGCCGGTGGACCGGGCCAGTTTATTATATAGTCGGACCGGGCTGTTGCCCCCTGAAGTATCCGACCCAAACTATTCCCCCTTGACGTAGTCGGCCCAAAGACTGCTGGTGAATTCACATTTAAATAAAACTGTGCGTTTCACCTCCAACACATTCTGCCGGTGGACCGGGCCAGTTTATTATATAGTCGGACCGGACTGTTGCCCCCTGAAGTATCCGGCCCAAACTCTTCCCCCTTGACGTAGTCGGCCCAAAGACTGCTGGTGAATTCACATTTAAATAAAACTGTGCGAGCTATATTCAACCCGCCAAAACCTCCTTCCAATCAACAAACCGCTAAGTAAACCTTTATTTTTGATCAATTAGAGCTTGCTGGTTCATGCTTAAGTGTGATTGCAATCAAGATAATGTCCGGAAATCAACAACCTGGTGGAAGCTCTTCAGTGCAAACCAGTGCTCCCAACCGTCGGAATTCAAAGGGCAAATGTAATTTGATTTCTTTGGTTTTTTCCATGTTCCACTGTTATTGTACGTATTCAAAATGGACACAACATATACCCGCTGCCTTAATTCTGTCGTATTTTGCAGGGTTCATGCGAGCTATATTCAACCCGCCAAAACCTCCTTCCAATCAACAAACCGCTGCTGAAAGGGATCGTCTTAATCAACGTAGTTCCGCGATTCATTTGTTGGTACATTAAATTAAAGTTTACTTTGGCACAAAATCAGGATAATTTGATTTGTATATTTCAATTGCAGAAATACTCACCCTTCAATCACAAGTTGAGCATATTGATGGCTTGATAGCTCAATCCTATCGAAAACGACGACGGGAGATCTTGAATGCGCGCTTGCGACGTACTGTTGAATATATTCCACATGGTAAGCTTAGTATCTTTTAAATGCGTTTCTTTATTTTGTAAGGTGTGTTCTAGACTATTTTGCATATGCATACCATAGTCCATATGTGCATTGCGTTGTATATGTCACGGAGCAGGATTCCATGTCGTCCTAATGGATTTAAAAGGAATTACCAAATAGCAAGGAAGGTGACAGTAAACAAAGAGCAAAATTATATGATGCTCAAAATATGGTTACATGAAGGACCACCTCAAAAGGATAATAACCTTTCAAAAAATATTTGCGTTCACATATCCATTACGCGGTTAGATAATTCGAAATTAGAGCGAGGTGGACCATTACTAACATTAATCCGATTATATTAATAATACCCTACGCTACTTAGTCATCTAAAATCGGGAACAACTTAACCAAGAAGAGATCAAGACGATTCTCCACGTTGTTCCAAGGTCCGAATGTGACCAAGACCCTATATGGCGACTCACCAATCCTGTTGAGTAGTGGAATGTACTCCACATCTTCCATCTCATCAGGACCAACAACAGCAGACATGACTCGCCGTAAGTAAGCTGATGGAAATACGACCTCAAGATCGGTGATAAAATCTTCAATTGTCAAGTGAAGCAAGTATATGCTGGAGTCGGCATGCCAAGATCTCCTCAATTCTGTGACCCAGCCATTGAAAATGTATGACTTGCCCTGGTACAAGCCAAAACATAAGGAGTTCAAAATAAGACCAAATTAGATGCAAATTCTTTAGATAAAATATAGATTCCGGATAGATAAAATACATGTTATCTGATTCACCTGATTAGCAACATCCAATTGCATAGGGATAAGATCTATCGTTTCTACATTGTTCCAAATTCTTGCGGCAACTTCATATTGCAGATTTGAAACGAAGTCTCCCATGGAAAAGAATCTATAATTTAGATTAGTAGCAATATTAGCAACTCTATCAACAAATGTTAGAGCTGTAAAACTAATCAACTAATTATGTAAACCCGAATATACACAAACAATAGCAACCCAATACATGAATGTGTCAATACAAACATACAAAGTTTCCTTGGAGTATCGAACTAAAAAAAAAAAAAATCTGGATGATAAGATTGTAGTAGATCTGGAGAAACCTAATTTGAAGGCCAGCAAGCGAATGTAATTGATGAGTGGTCTGGAAAAATTGGTTGAAGTTCTTGATGAGAGGAAAGGGGAGATTTTGCCGAGGTAGGGTTTTAGAAATTACCTTTTAGAGATGCTGAGATAGGGCTAACGTTGATCAGGCAGAGAGAAGGCCTGGAAAATGAGTGCATGCACTGGAATGGGTTTCCAGTTGCTTTGTTGGCCGGAGAGTGAGCAGAGCAGAAGAAGGCGTCAGGGAGGTAGGGAGTTGAAACGTCTTCGGCTGGGTCTTTACGCGGTAAGACTTTAGAACTTACCTCCTGGAGATGTAGAGATGGTACTAATATCGGTCAGTCAGGGAGGGCTGGAACATGAGTGCATGCAATGGCTTGGTTGGACTGTTGGTCTTCTCGCCGGCGAGTGAATAGTGACGTCGTGACTCGGTGCCGTTGTTGGAGTCCGCGCGAGTGGTGATTCGACGGTAGGGTTGTTCGACGAGGGAGAATGAGCGAGCGTAGTGGGAGGGTCGGGGTTTGCGGAGGGAGCGGGAAGCAGGAGAAGCAGAAGATGGCGGGTTGGGGATGTGGATGGTCAGGTTTCTGTGGAGGGACTGGAGGGTAGGTGAGAGCGATGGAGGAGGGAAAGGAAGAAGGGAGTTAAACCGTCTTCGGGTGGGTGGGAGGTTTTAATTTTTTTTTTTATTTTGGGTTTTATATTTGTTTGATCCAAGCGTCGCTATGGCTGTCCATTTGGTTTGGGTTTTTTTGGGTTTTAACCAAACCCAACCCAATTGGAAAGCTAATTGTTTCTTTTGTTTTGTTTTAAACCAATAAGCAACTTAATGGTTTTGGTTTGGTTAAAACCGAAAAACCAATAGAAACCATTAAGAATACAATTATTCATCCGCAAGTTTTTTTTTTGTTGTTGTTTCTTTTGACACGCATACCAACCAATAATTTGTGCTGACCATACAGATATGTTTTTGTCAAATGATAATAAATAAATGAAAACCTAACTTCTTTTTTTTTTACTCGATGATACGAGTGATTTACTGGCTAAAAAATTCACTACTTCAAAATGGTATCCATTTATTTTATCAATCTGCCAACCCTAGCGATGCATTGTCAATTGATTCACGTTTATGAGAAAATGACACACCTAATTTCAACTCCTCCTCCCAACCAACAAACCGCTGCTGAAAGGGATCGTCTTAAGCAACATAGTCCTGCGACTCATTTGGTAGTACATTAAATCAACTTTGAAGGTCTTACAAAATCATAATAATTTGATCTGTATATTTCACTTGCATGAATACTCACCATTCAAGCACAAGTGCACCATATTGATCGCTTGAGTTCCAAAAACCCTTTACTCTGAGAAAACCGTCATTGGGATGGATGTATTGCACCATCCCAATTAAATCTTCCCGTGTGTTAAATGTAAATTAACGAAAGAGAATTTTCTGTTATTATAGTTTAATTGATCAATAAAAAACAAATGGTAAATGAATTGGCAGAAATGTGGCAAAGCCCATTTCACTCTCCCAACTTTTATTGCCGCCAGTGTAAAGGGAAAAGTTCAGTTTAGGATATGTGCTTTTGTCTTTATACTTTTCTAAGGTAGATAGATATATAAATGGACTCATTCTAAATAACCAAGCGAAAAAGATATTTCACATGGGCCTGTTACACATGACGGTCCATCTATAGCCCGCAACAAGATCTCATATGTGAATGTCGTTTCCCCTAATTAACAGTGGAGGAGGTTTCGGCCCACATGGTTTTTTTGGTTTTTTGGGCGGCTTCCTAGCAGCATTGGAATCGAGCTCCAACCCTAGAGGCTAGAGTACAACAAACAATTCTTGGCGCTACCATTGCCTTTCACCGGCGAGTGAATTGCGACCACAGGCTTGGATCCCCGTCGGCAGCGAACGCTTATCTGAGGATGGCGCTAGCTAACCGGTCTTCCCCATGCAGAACACCTGCCCCAAATATCCATCTCCCCATATCCCTAATTGGAAGAAGCAACCAATTGCCCAGACTACATCCGCCCCGAACATTGCAATTCAATTCAACCGGGTGCAGGTTGGAAGATGGTTTCCACCTGGAATCAGACGTCACGCAGTCAAAGCCTCAGCTCCGACTTTGGCCCTCTTTGCGGCGGCAGCGGGGAATAAAAGGAACCGAGCTGCTTTTCAACCCCAGGTACTCATTGAACATGGATGGTAAGTTATACTGGCTCTGTTTTGGCGCGTTGTCGGTCCTTGGGAAATTTACATTGGTTTATAACTGACATATTTGAATTTTCCCCCCTATTTCCATCTCCAGCTCTACACCCTTTGAATAAGCAGTTCACGTTGGTGTAGCAGTTACCTTCCGAAGATGTTGCTGTTGCTTGCCAACGTGGGGCAATTGGTAACTGCCCCAACTGGAATCCACATATATATACCTTCTCTAAATCTCTCGGCTCATTTTATATTTCAGTTGACGCTTGCTAAATCCCGCCAGGTAACTTCTTCTTCACAGAATTTTTTTCCCACTTCATTCCTCCATCAAACCAACCTCCTATTCCTACACTATAACTAAGTGCTTATGTACTTTGGTAGCTACACCATGGCATTCAATGGCATCCGAGATCTTGAGTCCGAGAAACAACTCTGGTCAGGGCATTGTCGCGTCTCCAGGGCATGGTTGGGTGTTAATGTGACGACTGATAAAGTCCTGCATTTCGATCTCATCTTGATGGATGCCAAGGTACGGCTGTGTTTAACATTAACTTTAGTTGCGTCACATATCATCCAGACTGTCTTATTTCGTCTTTATAAATCCCCAGGGGAATGATATATGGGTGCATATCCCACCAGTGCTGCAAGAACACTTCAAACGATTGCTGAAGGAACAACAGGTCTACACCATTAAAAACTTTGAGCTTCACACGACCCAACTGAAATATCGCCCCATTGCCAATACATATATCATGTCGTTCTCCCGGAAGACTACTGTTGAGCATGTTCCCGATGTCCCTTCCATTCCTGCCTTCAAATTCAAATTCCTCAAAGCAAGTGAGATGGCATCTAAATTGAATGATGTGGTCGTACTCTCAGGTTACAACCGCAATTTATTCAGTGGTTGATTTCCTTTCCGTGCTTGCTTGCGTCTAATTTCCATTAACTTTTCTTTGTATAGATGTTGTTGGGCAAGTAGTACAGCACTCGGATGCCATCAAGACAACGAATCTTGCTAGGAAAACCATTCGGAAGGAGCTTCAACTGAAACTAATTGAGTAAGAGCTATCTTTGCTACGGTTGTATCAATATGAAGTTGGAGTTACATGAATGATTGATGATTGCTTGGGTACAACGTTCTACTTTTTCTAGGCAGTATAAATTTAGATCATGGGTTATTCAGCCTCTGATCATATACATTTATATGGGTCACTTCATTGTATGGTGTTCATTTACACCCATGCTTAGGCATTACTTATGTTGTCAAACCTAAGCCTACGTTGTTTTACAGAGGGGATGTTGTCAAAGTTATTATGTGGGGAAGAGTTGTAGCTGACTTTGATAAGTTGATCAAGCCTGGTGATGATGAACAAGTCATACTGGTTGTGACTGCGGTTTCTGTCAAACCCTTCCTAGGTACAACATCTGTTTACACTGTGCTGCATTTGAGATATATGGGTGACTGATCAGTAGGAACAACATCGATTTAATTTTTCAGGTGAACTTTGCTTTAATTCTTCGGGTTCAACAGTGTTGTATCCCAACCTTGATATCCCAGAAGTAAAGGCTTTCACAACCAAGTATTCTCTTTTAATTGCTAATGAATATCCGAACCATACTGTTGAACCAATGTCAAATTAACATATTTATTTCTTTTGAAAAAGGAATGTGCAACCACAGCAGCCCGTGTTTGTTGAATTACCCCCACCCCCCTTCATCCCTAATATTACTCTATCGGAATTGCTGGAACTTCAATTGGACCCTGATAATGAGGTTAGATTATGGTGTTTTTCTCTAAATTTACATTATGGTGTTTTCTCTAATCTATACGCCAATATTAATTCACTTCGACTACAACTAGGAATGTGTGTATGCTGTTGAATGCAAAGTCGTAGGAATCAAGCCATTTTGGTGTTATATGGGCTGTCCAACCTGTGTCCTTAAACTCATAGAAAGACATGGAGAATACTACTGTGTCAAATGCAACAAGCCAACACCAACAAGGGCTGCCAAGTAAATACCATATCATTGAGTTCCAAGATAAATTCCATCAGATCCTTGAATTATAAACTTCATTGAATATGCTGAATTTCCATTTCGTGCCTTTCCAGATATCGTATACAGCTTGATGTTGAAAGCAGTTCTGTGCCAGCTACCTTTATCATCTTTGAGTATGAAGCAAAACGCTTCTTTGGTGTCAGTGGTAATGATCTTTTCAATAGGACGGGTCAGAACAATGAGGTACCCCCTCCAGATCTACTCCAAATAGTTGGTGAGACCAAACTATTCCATGTCAAGTTCAAGCTAAATCTCTACAGTGATTCACAAGCTGATTTCACCGTCTTAAAAGTCTTGGAACCCACAGAACAGGTGAGCTACTCATTAGATCTTCCAGACTTATAACTCTACTATACTGTTTTGTGTACAATGACTATGACATATGTTTGCATGACCTGATTCGTACTTGATTAATAATAGCTTTCATTGAATCCTCTTAAAGTCCTACTATTAATTGTTTCTACTTTCCACCATTTTTTTAATTTCAGTCTCCAGCTTCTGTTCTTCACAAAGATGCCTCATGTTCATCAATTACCAGTGGAGTTGAGTCCTCCCAAACTTCATCGCAACCTTCCATCCCAGATCCAGCACATCAAGAGGCAGACAAAGGCGTTTCTGTTGATATCACCCCTGATAATAAACTGAAACGAAAGATGCACCCAGAGTGATATCTGAGGGGTTGAACGTTATGTAACCAATACCCTATTAGTAGTTCCACTTTGATTCTGCAGAAGAACAGTTCAATTTCCTTTTGTTGCTAGACTGCTGGGTGTTTGTCGAAACTGTTTACTGGTTTTCCTTTGTTCCCGTTTGTTGTGTTGCACAGTGACAATGGGTCGTTGTGCCATACAAGGATTGATGGATTTCAATATACGTACCTATTCTCTTGGATGCAAAAACAGTAGTTGAGGAGTTGGTCGAGACAAGTGATATCAAAAAATACAACGTCAAATTCTTCAACTCTACTGAATTCCAACCCGCATATGTGAACGATCAATATTTGGCAAATTGAAATGCTTTATCACATCCTTTGACAAATAATGAATTACACACATCTTTATTTTCATCATGCCTTTCTTACATGGTTTTCCTATCCTATGTTTTCATCTCAGCATCCATTACATGCTCATACAATGGGCCCCTTTATCCCGCACTCTCTTAAACCAGCAAATTCATCATCAAATTTCAAATGAAACATATTGAATGACATTTCAGAGTTCAATCCAGTACAGTTAAACAACTTGGACATCACCAAAGATCCATTTCATTTTGGAGTATAAGGAAAAGAAATGTTAATAATTACTAATCCAACTCTGACCAGGTAATTAGCATCAATGAAAGGATCATTGGCTGCTTCCATTTTCACATCATGCCGAGATCAAGGTTGCTATGTGCAGAACCAGACTTATGATTCGACCAACCCCTGCATTAGACCATTCACACCATTAGTCAGAATCCAGACAAGTCTTAGGGTAAAAAATGTTAATAGTTCCTAAGCCGATGCTTACTATGTACTGCTACTTTCGCTTGCCAATATGGCCTGTCATTTTCCTATTAAAATATATTATAAATACAAATAATAAGTCATTAACTGCCATGATCACCACGTTCTTCCACTATGCCACCTATTCTCAAGCTTAAACCAACTTCCTTCCCTGCAAGTCTATATAAAGAACATTTCCAGCACGTGAAAAGGTTTGCTGCCATCCAAAATATTGACTCTTTTCCAGCGTGCCGTATCAGTGATGGCTCTCCGCAATTTAGCCCAATTGAACCTCCATGACAATGACCAGGCTGTTCGCGTCAGGCTCCTGCGTTTATGGCATACAATGAGGCCTGATGGTGTAACGCTTGACCAAATCCACATGTTGTTTCTCGACAACCAGGTACTTTGATTTTATAAGCCTTCTATTCGTTACATGAGTGGGAAGTACGCTATTCAATTCTAAAAATACTCAAAGATTTTTTACTGTGACTTTTAGGGAACAGAGATGCAGGCCTTGGTTGATATTCTTAATGTTCAGTTGTTTGCTCCTCTTCTTCACGTGGGAAGGATCTATTTCTTGAGCAACTTTTTGGTCCAAGAATATGATGATACGTATAGAGTTGCTCCTGCAACTATCCGAATCCGCTTTCATAATGATACGGTGATTGAGGAACTCCAGAATGCAGCCGACATACCAACATATAGCTTTCGGTTTTTGGCTGCTAATGATCTTCCCTTTGCTGTCCATAATCATGAATATTTGTCTGGTATTTCTAATTCAAAGAAAGCTTTATTTGGCCGGTTTGGTTTTCATATTGTGTGCCTAACGATATGTTTGGGCTCAGATTTAATTGGGGAGGTTGAAACTGTTGAACAAGAAGAGGTCCTATTCGAAGATGCTGCTATTTTACGGCGAAAGGGAGTGCAGCTTAGATTGATTGAGTCAGTTGGTTGTTTTTTTGTACAGGTTACATTTGAAGTGTGCTTACCGTATGCAGCCCATTCATGCATCTTTTTTTTTAAAAATTTTTAGGGAACCTATAGTTGATGTCGTCTTATGGGATGGTCTAATTGACGAATTTCAAGCTGTGACACCTAATGATCCTTTACCAGGAACAGTAGTTGTCTTCACTTCCGTTGTTGTTCGCCACTTCGCAGGTCTCTTACATGGTTTTCATTCTATTTTTCGAACCTGTTCTTTTAGTTTAGATTAGTGGTAATTGAGTTTTTAGATGTTATGGTTTTAGGGGAAGAATATTGTGTGGGCTCAAATGCAACGAAAGTATATTGCAACTTGCACTATCCTCACGTGCACCCCCTGCTTGATAAGTAAGTGTTTAACCTTTGATCAATAGAATCAATTCTTTTATTATTCTTATTCTCATGTTTTGGAATTATTTTTTTTTATTTACAGTATAGAAAATGTCCCGCTGGCCATTGACTACACGTTGGAGGATGCTATATGGTTAAGTGAGATATGTTCCATTTCGGAACTGAATCTATATAAGACTGATTTCACCAACCAGGTAGTTTATATGTACACTCGGTCAACTCCTACAAAAATTTCAACATTCATATTTTGCTCCCATTGAATATCATAATTGTTGGCCTGGACACCATGGTTGGATGTAACTGCGTCTCTAATGCTCTAACTTGACCAATAAAATATCAATTATCCTCTTACCATTCCCAAATGTAAGCTTTCATGTGGTTCATATTGCAGGGGAATTTGTACCTTACTACTGCAACAGTCAAGGATGTTACTGTTTCTTGGTCAAGTGTGCATCTCAAGTTTATGGTGAGGCTGACTGTTGCTACTGGTCCTCATGAGGCTTCTATCATGTTTATGACTACCAAGTTCCGGTGGATAGCAAGCCGTATCATTGAGGCTACAGACAAGGAATGGACCAATGACTTCAGGACTCTCCTAGCTGCTCTCAGGGGGAATATATTGAAGTTTATGATTGAATTTGGAGATTTCAACGGCCAGACCAATGAGTTTGATTTGGTTCTTCGCAAATTATTCTGGTAGAGGGGGTGACGTACTTGAACAGTGCTTTAATTCAAAGATAATTTCTGTATAGTTGTTCCAATTATGAATGTTGAACTCTTTCCCCGAATAGATTATTACTTGGCTGCTCCATCTATCTCCTGTGGTTTTTACCAATGTGATGCTTATTATTATGTTCCAAATATTACAGCCCACTTATTAAATTTCATATATTCGTATAAACATTTTAACTGAACAATTTGAAACTTAAATTGACAAAAAAATGAATTCGTTTTCATTTGATTTCATGTTCCAACGTTTGTCAAATGCGCCGCTTATGTTTAGTTTACCCGCCCAACGGGCCGGGCCCTGCGCTAGTTGATATTTCTGCTAAGGGGGGTTCTTCCTTCCTTGCCTGCTTCCTGCCTTCATTCCCCTTCCATGATTAACGGGTTCGGGTGGTTATCTTCTTTGTCTGTTATCTGAAAAATGCATTTCTTTATGGACTTAGTTTCCCTTTTGGTCAAAATCACAATAATAAATAGCTTCGTTCATATATACAACCGGGTTCTCGATGAAAGAGCATTTTATGCCTTGAAGTGGACAGCTCTGTGAAAGTTTCGAAGAGTAAAATGACATGAAACTGACATAGAGAGTGAGAAGAGAGAAAGAAGAACTTCCTTTATAATGGAGTCGGCTCTCGAACGAGAAGATTTCCTCTCTATGAAAAGAATTTGAAGAGAGTTCTTGCAAGAAGAGAAAGTGTGAGTGAGATCATGAGTCATGAGTAAGAAAAATGATGTCCCACTTGAAAGTTTTAACCAACATTGGTATAGTAGGCAAACGTGTCGGGGTCTGTATTGGGCTCATTAGGTCTCGAATGTTTGGCTTAAAGGGTTTTGGTTCGAAGGTCTTTTTAACTCTTAACTACTCATCGTTAAAATGTGGTTTTTTTTTTTTGATAACGAGGAACACCCTCCACGGTCACCACATTTTGTCACCACATTTTGTGATGCCGTAGCCAGGCTAAACCCCGGGACCTCCGCCGGCAGTCCGGGTGATAGCGGGATGCCTCCGGGAACACCATGGTGGCGGTGAGGATCGAACCTGGGACCTTATGGTCACCAGTCCTCCTCCCTTACCACCAGGCTATGTGACCTTTGGCATCCTTAAAATGTGGTTGTCATGCTTGTATTTACATCTCAACACTAAGTGATCAACTCTTTCTTTTCTTGGTTTTTCAGACTTTAAAATCACATGGAAGACAATGCTATGTGGATTTCTTAGGCTACAAATTTTACCACCACCCGTATGCACACTCAAATCAACTTGTGATTTCATTGTTCTTTAAATCTAGATTGTCTTTGTACTTTTTTTATTTGAGTGATATTTTTATTGCTCGCTTAATTATTATGTTATATCATAAATTTAAAGTTATCATTACTCTCTTTCACCTCACCAATCTCGTCCATTGAAAGAAATCTACTGAAAGAGTAAATAAATATTTGAATATCATTTTTATTAATCCATCCATAATTTATTAACAATTAATTCAGAATGACCACATCAACCAAACTACCAAAGAAGGAAACATACGTTAACAAAGTAATTCATCTAATAAATTAACAACTAATTCAGAATGTTTTGTTCCCCAATCTTCTATATCTTACGCTATTGCTTTGCTCATCTCTCTTGGAGAGAAAGCAA